CCCCCCCCCCCCCCCCCCCCCCCCACTTTGCACTATCTTTGTATTCACGCGCGATGCGCGTGATTTCACAAACTAGCCAATCACGTTTAAGAACTCTAACCTTATTATTAGAAAACCGACGTGGATTTTAGGTAGTTTCGGAGTCTTTTTATTGTCGCGCAATGTTGCGGTTTATTTACCAAGTTTAATACATATTTTCTGCGGAGTTTGGACTTCAGCCTCTTGTTACGTAATTGGATTTTTTTTATAGTATCTCAGTTGATAACTAAATGAAGAATTTCCCCCAGCATTTCGTCATGTTTTTCTGATAATTGGTTGCTGATTTTAATGAGATTTCGAAATATTCCAATTAAAAAATATCTTAATCCAACAAAATCCGACACATATTTTTCAAGCTGAGCACTGTTAGAAAAGACGTAACACAGCTCACCAAAAAATCATGAGGATGTTTAAACTCTTTACCAGGGTTTTCTCCCTTCGATCTACGACCCAGGATGATTGGGGTGTGATCCAGGAAACATGGTCTATAGTCATTTTGTGACGTTCGAGGAATGAAGATTTTGCAAGACAAGTCAGGTATCAGGAAGAACAAAAATTTATTTATTATCAGTTTCATTGAAATAAAATCTGGCCCAGCGATTTACCATGCTTTGAATGTAACGTAAATAAAACGAATGTTGTTAAACAACTGTACATCTAAATTAGTCTTTCTTTTTTAAAGAAAACAGTTTGAAGACAGGAGAATGCTTAGTTGCTGTGAAATGAAAAGGTGCAACTTCGAGATAACTTTTTGAAATTCATAACTTTTTTTCTTAATAATCGGTAGGCTCTAATTTTTTTGGGCTTTCCATACTTTCCGAGATAACAATTCAATTAATATTCGACGCTAAAATATACAGATCTTTTTTCTTAAATTCCTGTAAGCATTTTTTTTAAAGCAAAACATTTACTTTACCACACAAGTGCAACAGTTTTTACCAAGAAGAAAGTGTGAATGAAAATAAATACTGAGGATATGTATGTTACCAATGAAAGCTTTGGAGGTGATACAGAAAAGGTAAAGTAAAAAATTCGGCAACAAGATGATGCTCAAATTGTCAACTTTCCTTCCCTGCAACAATGTTTATCTACTCTTTTAAAACTCTGGTAGAGAGAAATTTTTGGACTGTCTTAATCCTCTAATGATCTCCATAGCTCAAGTTTGTAAGAACTAAACTCTAGGTAGTGGTTAGCTGTAGATATACGCCATAGTCTAAGCATACATGGCTCTATTTTAGGTCAACTCCATAAACATTTACTCTCTACATTCCTGGCTTGAACTAAAGATCTAGTTTTACCAGTACATCCAGATATTAACTGTATACTTCAAGATAATAATGAAAATTTGACTCTGATCCAGCATTCTCCCATATTTTAGGTAAGACAGGTAAAGGAAATTTCCAGGTAGAGCATTCGTTTTAACAGTTGAATTTTCAAGAATTCCTTGCACTTTTAGAAATTTTAGTAGGTAATAAGGTACTACAGGTGGTAAATTTCCCAGTTACCTCTTGAAAAGGAGAACACTATTAATCACTGTCAAGGTTCAAAGCTGTTAAATTTGACTCCTGGATTCTTATGATCCATGGCTTTCACAATTTATACTTGGCAGTAAACAAAACAAATAAAACAACACAGACCTTACAATAAAAACACAGAAACAAAGTTTTACATGCATAAAAAGTTACATGAAAAGAGCAAAAATAAATCAATCCAAAAAACACAATATTTTTCGCATCAGCTTGTCTTGTTGACAAGTGAATTCTCAATGTCATTTATAATGAGGAACGATAGGCCCCAGAGTAAAACAAAAATCTTAAAAAAATCTTTTAGATAAATAAATTAACCCCAGCCCATTTTGTGAAATTGGTCTTTGTAAAATACAATAACATTCAAAAGCTGTAACAAATCTTGACCAGTATGACTACATGAACTGCGAATTTGAGCGCGTTAAGGCAAACCCCATTCAAATGCACAATATATACAAATAGCAAATTTTTTTTAAATAATTAGTGTACAATCTTTGTAAGCAGTATCAGTGACTCTTGGTTGCCCACATTATATCATACTCTTTTCAATAGTCTGTCCTTTTTCAAATAAATTATCTCATCTCTTCAATACACATAGTAGAAGTTTGATGCACCAGGATTAAGATAGCTCTGCATATGGCGTGACTGTTCCACTGCTGCTGTCACCCGTTTATTAAAATCACCATGAAGAACATCTCCGCCTCGTGGAACTCTATAGAGGAACCCCTCCACACCAAGCATACACAGGCCTTTCCCATTCATCAAGAACTTATCTGCTGTTATATCCCTTATGCTGTATCTCTCTGTTGCCCATTTCAGCCATTCCATCACTTCCCATTTATTCCACATTCTTGGATCTAAATGAGATAATAAGAGACTAAGTAACCCTTTACACCATAACATCAGAATGCATATTCTCCAAACTGCTGTTAATACATTTCCTAAGGTGCTGACAAAGAGAATTTATAAAACAATCCAGAGCTTCTTAAGTCAGTGGTCATTACTTTTAGTTTGTGACCTTAATGCTTGATTCAGGGGTGATATTGTCAAGGGAAATTAAAATATAGTCACTTTTAGGCACCAAGGGGTTAACATCTGGTCCCAAGAAAGACAGTCTGCCTTTATTTAAAAAAACTTTCTAGTTTTTACTAGAATCTATCTTTATCAAGGAAAGAATCACTAAAAAAATTGAGGCAGAACTGATCACATTCTTTTCCTGAACATTGTATATGTCTGTATACATACAAAATGTTATCCTTTGTTGAATTGCTCTTGATACACCCCCACCCCCAAAAAAGTAATAATAATATATTATAATAATAATAATAAAAATAATAATAATTTCAAAGCCATCACATTTGTATGTTCAGTACTGAAATACTCTCCCCTAATATTAAGCTGAATGGGTTAGTGATAAAACAAGCACAAGCCTGGAATCTGATATTGCAAATTAATTCATAACTTAATTAAAATACTACTTTTCCTTAGACCTACTAATTGTAATCAAATAAAGACAAGAGTAAAGAGATCAGAAAAAAATATCAATAAAAACTGTGTACAAAGAGGTTTCAGCACAGAAATCTAAATCAATGTTGCCATTACTAGATAATTTTACACAATCTTCACACACGATATTATCACCCACACCTAATGATTTGTATACATGTAAATGTGTAACAATAACAAGTTTTTCTGCATTTAGCAAAATAATGCAAAATGTTTTTGTTTTGTGACGGTTGAGGAATCATTCAAATTAAAAAGGATTTCTTTAATTTTCTTCCTTACCAGATGGCACTCTGGGCTGTTCAAAGTTAAACACATTATCTTCATCATCAATATCTGGTACGACACAATCTTCAGATGTTGATGTGCTACCTTTCTTTCTTGTTGGAGACGGAATGTCTGGGGAAAAAGACATTGTGAAATCAGCAGTGAACAATGGCAGAAGAAACAATATTGTTTTAAACATTTACACACCTACTGCTGTAATGTCTCCTTACAGTACACTGCTGAATCATTTATTAAGATCATGAAAATATATGAAATGACCCCCAACCTAAGAAGCTTTGATCACTGAATGAATTCCCTTGTCAGTACCAAATGAAATGTGTAGAGAAGAGTATGAAGGATATGGATACTGATATTAGGGTGGAAAGGGTTAAACTTAAGTAGGAGCATTAAATATCTATCAAAATTATCAAACACAAGCATTCAGACAAGGGATCTTTGCATTAAGCCCAAAAAGGTTTATTGAGAGCTCGTCCCCCATAGGAAACATTTTAAGTAAATTAGTTATTGTTTACAAAATAAAGTTGAATGAGATTGATGGACACTATGCTTTTAACATATCAGTCTCACAATTACACTAAGAGAAAAGAGTACACCCAGAGGTTTTGTCTGTCCACCTGCTGGAGCTTTGAGAAGAAACTAATTCAGTGAATAGGATAGTTTAGTTTCATGAACTGAGTTGATCACATAAACTGGCCACCATAAAGAATTTATAAGCTGACATTTTAAACCTAAGCCCTTTGTCAGAGCAAATGATAACTTACTGCACAGTCTTGTACATTAATAAAAGAGCAAAGTTTTCAGTTCAAAGTGATGCCTTACTACAACAGTAACTACTCAGGTTTTTCAATGTGAAACTTCTGGCTCAAATCTAACTTTAGCTTTATTGTGATAAAAACTGAATGACACATAAATGCCTTGAAACAATTCCTTTTTAACTATCTTGTAACAAAATTACATTTTGAGGAGGGAGAGGTTAGGGAGAAGAAGTCCCTGAGTACCACTCCCTCTAAATACACCTATGATTCCACACGTAGTGGAAAATTCTATGACACATTTGCCTGTAGGCCAATACTATTTAACTGATAATTAAGGTATGTGCTTAAGCTAATTGGCTAAGTATGCTTTTAACGCAAAAGAAAAAACATGTTATAGTGATAAAATCTGTCACTTGAAGGAATCCATGTCTTTCACAATAGTTCCTTGTGACATGTGTAGTTAAGATTCTATTTTTGTACTGTTCTTTGCATATGAACGAATATTGGTTCCAAGAACTCCACAAATTTACGTCAGTTCTTATTTAAAGAAACACAGTGGAGTTGGGAAAATATTGGACTAGAGGAAAGACGTGGCTTTTTTTCACTTATAGCAATATTGTGTTATCAGCAACATTTTACATACACCCCCACATTTCCTTTCAAATAAATACATAGGAAAAGATATGATATTGAGTTCTTCAAATTGATTGAGTAATTGCTGTTGGTGACCCTGATAAATAATGGAAACCACTACAGATGTTTGCTAAGTGACCAAGTGACCAAGACAGAATTTCTCATTACAATATTGATACAAAATCAGGGAGACAAGTGATGAGAATACACCAAAATTTCAATTAGGTGATTACAACTTGATCTAACACAAAATTCTCCAAAGGAACATCAAAAGAATTGCATAACAGACAGACACAAGAATTTCTGATGAGATCTTAAGACCAGAGGGGTTATGGCAAAGTCACTTCCCTCCTGAAAAATACATCTTTGAGTTAGCCTCAGTGCACACATCATGCACAATCTAATTCACATCACTTGTTTGCAGACTTCAAACAACAGAATCCAAAAATTAAGGCACTTGAGTATCACTGACCATGACTATTTTTTCTCTTTTGTCGCCAACCCTTTGTTTTATTTCAGAGGAGTGTATCTAGAGTTTTCGTTACCCCTCCCACTCACTAATGAAACATTCAATTCAATTTCTCAGACAAAAAAAATTATACATGAAAGTGAAAGACTTAGACTAGTTTCACTTCCTCAAGAGCTGCACAGGGAGCACTTCGACTTGGTTTTAAGCTGTGGTTTAAGTAGCGGAATTGAAAGTATTTCCTTCACTGGTGTAAGAACGACAATAAAATTTTTTACCTCTCTGTAACAATTAACTATCGAAAGATCCGAATCAAATAAAATTGGAAACAGGTACTGATTTTCACTTCATTTTCTCTTGAAGAAAAATAAATCACACTTCACTAATTATCAAGTTAGGAGAAAACAAAAGAAATTAAAATGAAAAGTTTCCACGTAAGATTAGATCGCTGCCCACACTAAACTATTACCCATGAGAAACGACATCTGCAATATTCTGAAAGAAAAAATCTTACTGCCGGTTTCGGTGTTGCTTGAACAAATATCTTGACAAGATATTTCTCAGGCCGATCCAGTTTCTAACTTAATTCTACAGATAATACAGAAAAAAATAATCCGTCTCCAATGGCAGACAAAACGTAACCTTTAAAATAAACTTAGTCGTACAAATATGTACCAATAAGACAATTAAATTTGTCAAAACATATTCAACTCTTTTCGCCAACGTTTCGTTAGGCCATGGCAAAAGTTTGTGCATCTGTCCTGTTTCCCAGGCAAAATAAATTGAAAGAAACCGCAAATAACAGGCATTCTTGTGGGCGTCCGGGAATAAAGTTTACCTCACACTGGAACAAAAAGTTCTTTGAGAGAACTATGACATAAATTTACACGGCGTGATTCCCAAAGCCTACGCAAATTACATTATCACTGAGAGATTTAATTACCGAACAATCTCTTCGAAAACAATACTTTTAAATCACTTTCACTAGCAACAACAGCATAAAGAGAAGATCCATGATTTGCGTGGTATTAACCCGATTTACTAACCTAGGAAACAAATCATTATTCAACACAAAAACATTCGTGTCATGACAGAGAACAAAACCCGCACACTGATAAAGTTCTCGAATACTTTAGATTGATACTTTACCTTGGAAATTAACTCGAATATCAAGTTGGGTATCTTCCATAACTCCCTGCTGTCCTAATGTGAGATTGTCTTGAAGCTGAAGAGCGGAAAAGAAGCAAGTATTGATCTAAAAGTCATATCCCCGGGAGGTCATCACACAATATACTAACAACGCTCATTTATGCCGCGAATAGTCTGCGCGTCACGTTAGAAATATAAGATTGCATTGTTAATATCGCCAAACATATGTGTGCATGAATCTTTTCAATATAACTTTCTTGAGCACGATCTTTACCAAGCTTATGCACGAGACTTCTAATAAGCGCAAAGCTCGCTTCAAGGAACAGTTTCGATCCTTTGTAGCATGTGGGAGTGCATTTCGAAATACATTTCGAAAGAAACTCGAACGCAGCTTTCATCGTTTATTGCTTTGCAGCTGATTCAATAAGATTTAGTGGTAAGAAAAATTTAGCCAGGAAATAAGACGACGAATTAAACCTGAAGCAATCAGGTAAAGCTTCGAACGGACGCACCACTTCAGCGTGACTCTCATGCGCGATTAGCTTTGCATTGTCCTCGATCGCGCGCGGACATGAAAAAATTCCATTCCGGCATGCAGTTTCTAGCACATACTACGGAACATAAGCTACCAACCGGATTTCCGTGAAAGAAAACATCTTGTTCTCCAACAGTAAAACCCTCTTGCGCCTCTATCATTTGTTTCAGCCTGAAGACCGTTAAGGAAAGATGAATTCGGAAAGGAAACGACATTCGCGGCGTGCCATCGTCGATGAGAACTCTAGGAAAAGAAGCAAACATGGAACCTAGCCAATTACTACAGCTGCACCAAAAGATTAACTCTGTAAAATGCTAAAAACAACCTCAGAAGAACAAAAACAAGGATGGTGCTAAAGCTTACCGAATGGCAACAGGATCGCTCATTGTCTCGGAACAATTTCCTATATTGAAATTCGCAAATCAAAGCAGTGTAATGCAGGCCGCGGTCTTTCTGCTAGCGACACCAATCCGACGCGATCAATGCTTTAACAAGACGTATCGTCAAAGATTGAACGAAACTCTGCTGAAATATAAGTTCAGCCGCCGTTCGTCAGGATCGTTGCGTAGAATCCATTTCGTGCGCTGTTTCCTTTACTCCAAGCTGATCCAACGACTATTGTCATGTTATAATAGGCAATGAATTCATTGCTCCGTATTTTAAGACCCAGGAGGCCGTCGTCCTGGAAACATCAAGCCCTATTGTTGTCGGCCTGCCTTATTTGGTTGATACCTCCCTCGCGATATCGTCATCGTTCCAAATTTGGAATTTGGTTTCACGAGATTTGCGTGCCGATGACGGCACGCCTAAGGATCGGGTCACGAAGATCTTCCGAGAAATGCCGTAAAGTATGCGAACGCTTTTTCATCGATATTAATTTACAAATGTCACGCGCTAGTTCTGTGCTGAAACATTCTGCACATGAGAATCAGGGAGGAAATGTCTCGGCGAACAGTTCATATCCCCCTTTCCACTCGCATAATGTTTCTTTAATTGATTTTGACCTTTGCCAAGCAAGTCGCCCTTAGGACTAACTTGAAATCGAGATACACGCTAAGTTGCGTGAGGGAGCATAGCTTTCCAATAACATATTTGAATACATATCAGCCAATATCGTCCTTTTAAAAATAACAGAATAAAACCCTTTCATACAAAATAGGAATATGACTGTTTAATTTCGGGTAGGTAAAGGCTATATTTAGAGAACCCTTGAAAATACAAAACAGCTGAGTGTTTATCATCCAATTCATAAGCGAACGATGAAATGCGTGCCGGGCCGGTCAAGTTTCACGGTTCAAAGCGTTTTTCTGTCTCCATTCAACAGACAGAAATGGGGAAAAAATCAAATATTTATGACTGTAATGTGCGTTACATCAGGTTCGTCAAAGCAACGCTTCTATCTCCGATTGCTCTCGGTATAAAATTAACAAATCTTTAAAAACAGTTTGAGAAACGACAAAAATTCACACAGGAAGGAAAAACCTCCCTGCAAACGTGCCATCCTTAAGCTCACCACTTTGTTGAGGAAGCTTAACATAATGCTGGACAATTTCACGTCTCTTAACATAGTTAAAGTATCATTCTTTTGCGTGCAATGTATCGGTGTACTCTCTCAAGTTGAGTGAAATTGTTGACAGCTGCTTATCCAATACCCAAGCACATTTCAACTTTACACAAATATACAACAGTAAGCTGTTAACTTGAACCACTTCCGTATTTATTCATTCATTTTGAGATACAAAAAAAGGCATTAGTATTTCTTTTGTGCCCTTTCAGTTTTCATCTCATTTCCAAGTTCAATCAAATTGAAAATGCTGTCTCGCTTCGCAACCTTGACGAAAATACTCAAGTACAGCATTTTTCACATAGATCTAGCCACTTCACTAGAGAATACTCTCCAGGGGAACTACGCGTTCAACTTCACCACCTGAGCTGTCACAACGTTCAGTGATTAAACTTCCCGACAGTTTCGACTCTGGACATTCAACACTATTTCGCTTTCTTGTTCTTGAGAAGCGCTTGCCTCAGTGCAAACTGAAAAAAGGCAAGAACAGGCTGAGATAAACAACCAAGTTACTCAAAATAAATACGACTACTTTTTCGTTTTCATGTCTTCATCTGATCGGGGAGAGAGACGAGAGAGTGCCAAAGCAGAAGAATGTCTGAATACTCCTAGTAAGACTAGGGACCTCTCTGAAAAACAATTCTTGACAAAAAACACTATCAGTATAACGCACTTAGCATTTTTCTTATATTGGCGAAGTTTTTCGAGTTTCTTTCTTTTTTTTTTTTATGGAGCGTTACTGTACTGACAAGGACTGGCAAAATCTGTTGTGTCTGTTAAAGAAAAAATAATGCTTAAAAGAACCAACCTGCTTATCTCGAAAGGAACGTTTGTTTTTCCCTCTAACATCTTTGTTATGACGCATCATCATGAAATTCTTGTGTTTCCTTTTCTCCTGCAAATGTCCAGAAAAGTTGGTTTTCATAAAATGGTCTTTTTTTCTTAATACATTCTGAGAAACTCTTTCTTTGAATTGCTCCAAAATGTTTGTAACGAAAAACAGTCTCCACTGACCTTGTTTGATGTGCTAGCAAATTGATTTAGACGCTTCTTTGAAGCCTTCTTTGAGCCGAATTTTTCTCTACCTTGTCTACCAGCCTGAAAAAAGAAAAATAACGAGTATGTGAATTTTAGCTGTATTGAGATTTTCTAAGCCGGAGATTTGGTCAGTTACAGAAGGGATGCTATTCTCATAAACCACTATTGCAGGGATAGACACGTGATCCATCATCCGTTCATCAGGGAAATAACTTGCACAAACTTTCCAACACTGCCACCTGGTAACAGCGTAAGGAGCGAGTAAAGCAATAATCCTCGCAGGAGAGGTCTAGTTTAAGCAGATTGCAGGAAAGAAGCCCTTGAAAGAAATTCAGGTTTCGATGGGATTCAACCCTGTGCCTTCCAGATACTAACTGGGCGCTATTATCAACTGAGCTACGGTTCCACATGTTGGAAACGGGGAACTTTAAGAGGATTCCTCTATTCCTCTTCCCTGTGGAGGAAACTGATATTATTCATATTAAATATTAAATCTTGTGTAAAGAGCCTGTAGCTTTCGAAAGTCAGAAAGCAACGTTTGTGTCAACCAATATCTACTCTAGACTAAGACAGGAAGCAAACTAGGTGATTAGGAATGCGCAAACTGAGAGCTTCACTTAAAACGCATTTGAACCTCTCTAAATGCCTGAGGTCGCTTCAATGAGATAAGCTGTACAAATCTTTAAGTTCAGTGCATGCACGTCAGAGTATTTTCGAGGACAAAAGAGGATTTGAAGATATCTTCTGTCCATTTTGTAAAGTTTCCATCAGAAGAAATGCGGAAACCATACGATCCGTTCGTGACTCTATTTTTTTCCTTTAATTTTTAAATCCCTATTCGCAATTTGTTGACCGGCCGGTCTCACACTTGATCAATATCAACCACTTGTATATGTCTGAGAACTTATAAACGCAAAAATATCGTCATCACTTTAAAAACAGCTCACGATTATGACGACTAATTTTTCCGGCCCTTTCTTCAATGAACGTAAAAGTGAAAATACTGGAACCTTCATTTGCTCTTGAGGTATAATATCTTGATCACGATAAATGAAAAGAAAAAAATTTGCAAAACAAACACAGCAGTAAAAACGTGCCAACGCCGCCTAAGCTTTCAAAGTATTCCTGTCTGTTCATGCATGCAATGTTAGTGGCCACAAATCCAAATATGTATGACTCCATTGAAAAGCAGACGATAGTGATTTAGTTCTTGTCTGAGTCGAAATCACGCTAGTTTCGTAAGGTATTGGCAGGTCTCTAAATAAAGTGATTGACGTAATCATCTTCGTAATTTACAAAGAGCAGTGTGGATCTATAACAAAACCTAATCCCCAACCGCTTTGTTCGACGGTTATGCATGTTACACGAATCAGTGAAATTCATATTAACAACAAGACGAAATATTTTCAGAAGTCTTTCTTTTAGACTCTTATTTTATGCGGAAGAGTTGGAACCTGTTTGCTGTGTACCCAACCAGTGGCATGTGCGTCATCAAAATTTCCCCTTGCATCAATATCTTTACACTTAAGACACGGCTTCCCAAAGGGAAATGTTTTTCAAAGGTCTCAAACTGTTCTTCCTGTAGTGATGTCATTTAAGAAATCCAAATGACCTCTCAAGGAAGCTCACTCAAGTTTGACGTATTTTGAACATTTTGGCTTCATCTTCCAGGCTCTTCAATTGAAATCTGTGTCATGATCTCCGCCATCTTACACATAATTGTGTCTATATGGTTAAATTTAAACATTTTATTAATCTCCTTTCCAAGCACACAACCATTCACGAGGTTTCTTTCTATTAAAAGCCAATGATGTAAAAATAGCACCAAATGCTGTGACAAAGGTCGTAATTTTAACTCAAATCAGCCGTTAACCCCGACTGTGTCATCGACATAAGCTCGTGGTAAACAAATCCAGAACAAACATTAGACGGACGAGCTTCCAAGGCCTTACATATGATCGAATAACAGAATAACAGGCAGGCATCAGGAAGAGGCTACAGATTCTACATTGATACAACGACAATTTATGTTCCACTCCATTTGCCATCAGAATACGATGAGACGGTGAAGTCATTGGAATCATAGAAACGGTTTAGAAAAATTTCTTTTAAGAAGTCTTGGGATAAGCAGATCTTTTTGCAACACAAGGAAGCTGTACATAAAATCTGGGAAATTTCC